AAATCATATCAGTCAAAAAAAAAGTATACTTCTTGGCTGTTGGTTAAAACTATGTGAAACTACTCTCCTTTAACTACTTTGTTTTAGTCTACAAAAGCACTGGTTGATTATATCTGGTTTTATCATTTGAAATTATTTTCTTTGTGAATTCAAGCACAATTTTTTCATGAGGTTGTTTGTATGACCTAAGAATTTATGTACATGTGCATCACCATGTTTTTAGTGTGCTGTGTGATGCAGTGATACATTTCCCTGCAGAACAATAAAACATCTGTCATTCAAAGCAGAGTATTTTGATTTATCTTCTATATATCTCACGTCTGAAGGTGAGCTTTAACACTGATGGCTCTAGACATCACGGTTCGGTGTATGACTTTGAGAAATGTTTGTACTGGCCATTATTCATCATTAGGTTGTTGATGTGTCACTCCCTGACTTCACAATTCAGATTCACTAGCTATGCATGATCTGCATGGAATTATGTGTGTGGCACAAAAGACAGTGGCTGTGTGGCGTTATCATGGAGTGTGTGACAATGACAACACGGTGATGCTGTCACTTGCTTTAAGACAACCATACCAGTACAGAGTAAACATTCAAACAAGGGTGTACATTAATCTTATAATATCTAATAAATAATAAAACAATAAACTGGCTTTACATGAAACCCTCTGTTTTAAAATCAGCAGTAGTGCTCCACACTTAGTGACGTGTTGGCCCAACAACATGTATAGCTTTCTGTGAAACCAAACAGGACATTCATGCCTCTTATGTCAACTTCCAAAATAGGGCATGTCACCATACAAACACAACACAGTACAGAAATTGCAGTGTCAAGAAACGATGCTCAGTGACTAAAACTAACACCTTTAGTTTCCGCAGCACTAGTGGATTAGATGTAAAATGTGTAATCTCGTGCATCGACCAATAACTGACACAATAAAATCCTTATTCTTAAAACTTTATGAGAAAAGTCATACAAGACAAAAAAAAAAAGAAAGAAACGTAGTTTAGATAAATATTTTAATGATGTAATAAAGTGATTCGACTTTCATTATTATTCAGTATTAAACTGTTGTTGTAAATTGTACATTGTTAGATAGATATAAATATAAATCATTTTTAAAAAGAAAAAGAACTGACACCAAGTGTTTCAAATAGCAGATACAAAATTGGAAATTTGATAAAGTACTAAAAGAGCCTTTTTTCCCCAAGTAAAATTGCTGAAGTCTGTTTTTCTTTAAAAATAAAGCAGAGAAGAAAGTGACTTAATATGTCAATTTGTTGTTGTTGTTTTTTTCATTTTTGATTGTCTAATAGCAAATAAAATTACACACAACATCCTATATTATCTCCTTTTATTGAAGATAGTATAGAAATCTTCACTGGGATATTTTGTCAATGCTAGACTTTCACACACCCTTAAAAAATAAAGAACAGCGCTTCCCATTCACTGTAGGACAAAATAATGTTAACACAACGTTCACTTAGCTTTTTCCAGAACTTTCAACTTCACATCACTATCTTCAATAGCAAATTTAGCTGAGCCTAAGTCTATCTAGTGATAAAGCCCATGAGCATGATGCAGCTTAAAGCTTGAAATAAAGCTCATAAGTGAACACTGACTTAAAATTATTTTATTTAACTACTACTCAAAAATAAACTTTCAGTTGCTGACAGGTACTACTGACTGTACATACATGCTGCGTTGTCTGTATGTGAAAAACATCATTATTTACATATACATAATGTTTTCGTACTGATAATTAGGACAAATGGAAAAAAAATGTTAGTATCAGAATGCAGACCATCTAACATCAATATAAAATTCATATAGAAAGTATTTCCAACATCTTCATCCCATATTGAAATGTATAAACCTATAAACAGGTTCTGCTGTCTTTAATACACTGTCAGGCTGTAGTTCATGTAACCTGCAATAATTCACTTTTGTGTTATCCCTTTCTCATCCACCGTGTGTAGGCCATGAATGGCCAAGGCACCAGGAGTCCCTGAACTGAAACGGTGTCTGCCTGGGTAGTGCACAATCTAATCTTGAAATCATATCTGTTATTTATAGATGTTTCACTATTCTGTCTCATTATGGCAACACAAATGGAAAGATGGTGAGGAGGTAATGGACACAGCTGGAATAATCCTGCTTTGGGGCTCTGCTGCCCCCTGCAGGAAGGCATGGAACATGGCACTACATGGATGGTCCTTGCCTTTGGGCGTGACACATTTCACAAGCAAGTTATAATGCTACAAGTACATGTCTGATGTCCTTCTTGAACACCAAAGTTACAGTATTGGTGATAAATCGTTTATGAGATTGTACAAACAGACAGCTGGTAATGATGCAGCTGCTGATATCTGCACCTTCATGACAGCATTCTTTTTAACAGCAGTTTGGTCATTTATACAGTATTTACACTGCTCACGGATTCGAAAGTTGCTTTTTGGTCAGTCAGTCTCTCTCTGTCTCTGTCTGTCGTTATAGGAAAAAATGAAGGAGGCAACAGTCTAATTTTTTGTTTGGCCAAGCAAAGATGGCGATTTATTTTAAAAACTGGACAGAGAACAGGAGTGTGATTCTTTATTATTTTTTTAAGAGTCTAGTTAGAGCACGTGTGCTGGTAGAACTTTAGAATTATGTTAAAAGTAAGGATGTGGTTTTCTTTTCCAAAGGTGTGGGACTGTAGCGTTACATTTTTTTCCCTAAAGGGCCTGGAAATTCCCTTTGATGTGAGTCAATCTGATGTCTTTTTGTTTGTTTGATTAATATGGTGTTTGGTTGTTGTAATTTATTGTGAATGCTGAATAATTCTATCCCTGTCTCTCTTGCTGTCCCTCTCACACACACACACACCTTTTGGGATGAGCTGTAGAGGGATGATGATTTGTTGTCCATAGTAGCAATGCTTAGAGGATAACACAGGGACAGCTACCACTTGTCTGTGTCCCTGTGTGATGGTTTGGAAGAGGAGGACTTTCCATTTCCTGAAAACGTCTGTAAATTAAGAAGAGGAGAAACAGAAGGAGAGGAATGAATCATATAAAAGTTTTGCTACTGGTCACAGGGGGCACAGCATCCGCTTCAGCACATTACATAATTTGATCGGATAGTGCAACACCTCCCCTGCGTTGCAGCGACAATTCAACATGGTTCACCCTTTTCATCACTCCCACCGTTCTGATGAGCTGACTGTCAACACACTGAACCTGAAGTCGCTCCTAATGGCAGCCAAGCAACTTGCATGGCAGCTCTGCAGACACTGGTGTGTGGAAGTGTGTGTGTGAATGGGAAACATTGTAAAGCACTTTGAGCATCATTACGGTAGAAGAGTGTTACACAAGAGCAGACTCCTAGCACTTTAAATCTGGCCGGTGCTACAGAGGTGACACAAAATCCCGGTTGCAGGTAAATTCAGTGTTTGGCAGCAATGCTGCAGTAGCCACCATATTCCTACTGCATCTGTACTGGCCATAACAACACATACAATGGGTCGTAGAATACGTTTTTGTTTTGTTTTTTTAGGGCCAATACAGACACTAAATATTAGTAGTAACCATCCAACGTAAAACTCTTTTGAAATGCCTTTACTTAAGTTTTGCCTGTTTCATTAACAACAACTTTTTAACATCTTTCCTTCAGTATGTATTTGCATTTCTCATGATGTGTAGCCAATCAGGTAGTGCTGTGGGCCCAAGTCACTGAGTGTGGGCTTTAGAGAGGTGACTGCATCACAACCAAAGTCACACATTTAATTTGCATTTTCCTGGGAACAGCTCTGATAATCATCCAGGCCGATGATCAGTCAACCCCTTACCAATATTTTACAAAAGCAGGACAGCGGAGAATGCTTGTTGGACAAACAAACATGTCCACACCCTCAGAATTCTCAGGTTGTGGTCAGACAGTAGCTGTTGGTGAAAAGGAAGCCACCTCATTCCTCTGGATTACGCGAGACCATCAGCGCAACCGGGGTGAAAAAAAGATGGAACAATGCTCAAAGTGCTGCACAGCACGGACAATGCTGCACTGGCCAATCAAATATATGCAAGCACGTATTCCTGGTGTATCACGCTGTAATGTGAAAGTTGTATTTCTACTGTTTATCTCATGACTGTTGTGACAAAAGATAAGCGAGGTGCCATCATGACATAAAGTCAGTTTTAACATCCTGTCTGTGAGCAAATCGAATATTGTACAATGTTTTGTTATCTGAGGGGCCTTCAAACACCAAATCTGTTCTTCAACTTGACTTTCCAGGTCCAATTTTATTGTCAACAACATGACTCCAACAAAAGCCTGCACTGTCTCACACAAGGCTGTTTTCTGAATCCTGGCTTAAGGAAGTTGTAGTCATATGTTTCATGTCAAAATGTGGACCATAAAATTTCTCAGTGTCCGGCGGGAAAATCACACAACCACACAAAGCAGAAAAATGAAAAGGATGAAGTAGAGATATGATTACAATGTTTGTCGTGTAGCAAAATGGAAAACTATAGCAGTATAGAGTTTGACAAACTGAACAGTATTTTAAATGTTCAACCCCTCATGCCAACCCCAACAGGGCTGTAAGCTAAAATGAAGTAAAATAAATGAGTACTGTACCTGATGATACGCACTAGCTCCAAGAAGGCTTCATCCACATTGTAACGATTCTTGGCTGAAGCCTCCATGTAATGGATCCTGTTCTCTGAGGCAAATGCCTGAGCATCCTCCTTGGAGATCTGCAGACACAGTGAACAACATCATGCCCAGCATCCCGTAAGCTTCTAGTGGTCCTATGCAGTTGCGCTGTCCCTGAACATGTTGTGTGTAGTTCAAAAGTAGACAGAAATACAGACACAAATGGTGGACAGGTAGGTTAAATAAACAAACATACTAATGAGACATTTTTTTAACAAAGGCTGGAAGGGAAATAAACATGAATCCAGTAATTAGTCCCATAATGCTCTCCGGCAACTGCACAGTCTCAGCTAGCAATGGGAAATGAGTGAACCCTGACCTGATCGAATGGCAGTTTAGATGTTGATTCAACAATATGACAGAAACTTTTCATTTCAATTGAAGAGGAAAGATTTGGATTGTATTTGTCTGATTATTCTGTTGACAGAATAAACGTTGTGTAATTGATGGTGACATTATTCAGTCAGAGAGAATGAGTACATTCAAATTTCAACCGTTATAAACTGCATATAATATACTTCTAGCCTATTGTTACTAAACTATACTATTCTACACTATACTTGAACTGATTCATTTCTGTGAACTTGAATGCCTTTCTTCTGTATTCGGCCATTTATCAGTGATTTCATTATACTAATGTAGTTTCAACGGACATGTCTGCTTATTTATCAACAAACTGATCTGATGCTGATTTACACAAGAAGTGATGTAAAATGGAGGTGAACCATAAACACAGACCACAGATTGCAAAGACAGGAAGAAAAAACTCAAGAGACACACAAGGAACGTGATATATTCAAAATAAAACCAAAAACCATGACAAAACTCTCAATTCATTTTGATAAAGAGTGGTCCATCAGTATATTTTTGTATGGTTTGTGATTCGGCCAGATAAAACAGCAGGTTACTGTTTGCTTCTGTGGTTCCTGAAGTTACAAACAGACCTGTAGGAAATATGATCTTTATTTCCTATTTATTTGTTTCTGTGTTGTGGTTTTCCAGGTCACAGCTGTGTCTGAGCCAGTCTGTTGAGCCAGTTGTATTAAGCTAATTGTGTTACTTGTCGTGAAACTGAACCAGAAGCCCACAGTTGCAGAAATTTCCTGACATCTCTGAATCCTCTCAAACACTGATGAGATTCCTTACAGTCCCTCTGGAGTACCTCTGCCTGCATCCCACTATAATCCAGGAACAGTAGGGAAGCTCACTGACATCACAGAGACCATTAGGATGTTCCTTACCACTCTTTGCTGCTCCAGATCAGCTTTGTTTCCAACCAGTACCATGGGAAAGTCATCACGGTCCTTCACTCTTAGGATCTGTGTGTGGAATTTCTGGACCTCGTGGTAGCTGTTGAAGAATAGACAGAAGTGTTATTATATACTGTACACTGGCCGTAATGAACACCCATCCATCTTCTGTACACCGCTCTATCCACTGTAGGGTCATGGGGGGCTGGGGTCTATCCCAGCTGACTCAGGGTGAAGGCAGGGGACACCCTGGACAGGTTACCAGTCTATCACAGGGCTACACTTAGAGACAAACACACTCACATTCACATCTATGGACAATTTAAAATCTTAAATTTAGAATTTTAGAATTAACCTCAGCATGTTTCTGGACTGTGGGAGGAAGCCAGAGAACCCGGAGAGAACCCAGGCTGCAAGGGTAGAACATGCAAACTCCACACAAAAAGATCCCAGGTGTCCTAACCAGGATGCACATTGGGGATCTTCTAGCTGTGAGGCAATGGTGCTGACCACTGATCCACTGTAATAGACATGACTTCTTTTGTTGTACAGTGCACACTGACCTAGATTCATTAATCCTATAGTTTTTTTAAACGGTCAGATTTATGCAGTTTCTCAAAGTAATCGGTTCTTCAAAATAGCTTGAAGACTGTGCCACATTGATCATCCAAAACTTGCTCACATATGTTGTGTTACGAATGTGTGTAAGATGATGAATGCACTTCCTGTGCGTGCTGTTGGACAGTAAGAGCTGAACTCAGTTACATCACCAGTTACAACTGACCACACATCCTCTTCAACAGAACCACTGACTACCACAAAGCAACAGTATAGCATGTTTTCAGTGAAAAACCATTCAGCACACTTACAGTGTAAACTAGAGGCACTTGTTACGGAGACTCCTTTACTAATTTTCAACTTCTTTTGTCAACTTTTTGTAGGCTTGCAACTCACGAAAAAACTAAAAAAGAAAAGCACTCATGAAGATTCTGCTATTCAATTGTTGGAGATTTAAAAAACCAAAAGTTTATTTTTTTGTGGTTGACTTTCAATGAATACATCAAAACACTAAAACCGAATGTCCTTTTTTCTTTAAAAAAAATAAAAATAAAAAATACATCTCATGGTGGTCACTTATCTGTTTCATTGCTTGTCTCACACTCAAAACACAATAAACCCACCAAGCTGTAATCTCTTTCTTCAATATACACGTATGGATGAGCTAAGGAGGAAAAACACACACGCAGAGGCACACACTCACACACACCATCTTGCCATTACCTGCCCCGGTCGTTGAGTGCAAACACCAGTAAGAAGCCTTCTCCTGAGCGCATGTACTGCTCCCTCATTGCACCAAACTCCTCTTGGCCTGCTGTATCCAAGACTAACGCACACAAAAAATGAAAGTTACAAGTAAAAATATGTAACACAGCATTAAAACACAATATGTCCAAATACTTGGGCAGAATGTAGTAACAACAATATGAACTTGAATACAGAATTAAGACATATAGTGTGTGTGTGTGTGTGTGTATATATATAAAATTAAATATGTACATAAAGGTCATGTGTGTCGTTCTCTGTCGGTGTGAATCAGTTGCAGTGACCCCTACCTATTTCCTGTATTTTTAGCTATTTACTTTGTTTTTTCTTTGATCTTTTTAATATTTTAATTTCACACAGCTGTACTACATTTGTGCGGGAGCAGTGGAGATGCAGATGGCGTTTTTTTTTTTTTTTGTCTGTTCTTTGCTTTTTGCGAGTTTCTTGGGTCCGCATCTGGCGACCTGTTGAGTCATTGAGTCATGACTCCATTGTTTTTACGCTTGTGAACAGCTGTTGGCGCTGAGCCAGGCCAAGCCACCGTCAAGGGAAAGACTGGACATCCCCAATGAGCTCCGCAGGAGGAAGAGGGGATGCAGGGCAGGAGTGAAGCGTCGGGAGAAGAGGAGACGCTACAAGCCGTTCGTCCCGTTCATCATGGGAAACGGGAGGTTTCTCCCTAACGGGATGGAAGAGCAAAGAACTAACAGCTAACGTCGCAGACTCAGCTGCAGTGGGAGTATCGGGAGTGCAGGCACTTTAGCGTCAACGAACAGCGCTGCTCGAAGGATGTTAAATTGCTGGCGGTTGGTTTGCGGCCGTTGTACCTGCCGAGGGAGTTTTTCGCAAGTCCTGGTGATTACAGTTTGCATCCCCCCCCTCAGCTGATACTGCTGCAGCCTGTGAACTCATCCATAGCTCAGTGTCCCAGCTGCAAACATCACACCCTCAGTCTCTGCTCGTCATCTCAGGAGACTTTAATCATACATGGCTCTCTACCACTCTCCCCACATTCAGTCAGCATGTGGACTGCCCAACAGGAGACGGTGGGCCTTGGACCTGCTGTGTGCGGACACCAGGATGCATATTACTTAGTTATTGTTATTTTCTTGTACTTTCTATATTTTTGGATGCTGCTGTGGCGTGTAAATCTCCCAGGTCTGGGATAAATAAAGTATATTCTATTCTATACTGGGCTGGATATAGATGGTATTAAAAGAAAAAAAACAACATTAAAAGTCAGGTGTTCAGCAACCACATGGTGCCAGAACAAAGTCATCATTGCTCATAGACATAAATTCTCCAAGTCTCTGGAACTCTACTAGAAGAATGAACACAATACTTCCTAAAGATATTCTCCCATTTGGGGTTTTAATGATGGTAGTGGAGATAACTATGGGGTGTTTAATCTAAGATCTTTTGACTCTGAAGGCCACAGCATGATTCATATCATTTTAATATACTACTACTCAAATCATTCCGTGACTCCTCATGCCATGTGGAAGGGGTCACTGTCAACCATTGCAAAAAAACATGAGCATCTGGACAGAACATTTTTATCATAGGACAAAAGTGATCACTCAGAACAACTTTGTATTGGTTCACAGTGACCCTTCCCTCCAAGGTCAAAGTGGAACATCCCAGGAAAAAAGCCCCGGCAGCATAACAGAGCCACCGGATCACCTCACTCTAGGAATCAAGCATTCAGGCTTGTGTTGTTCTCTTGCCATCAGTGCCCCCAACAATAAGCTCTTTTTCACTTAGATCTTTTCTTCTTTCATCTTGATATAAAGTCAGACTCAACTAGGTCTGCTCAGTATTTTGTGTATGACACAGAGCATGACTGGGTGCCCCTCCAGTAAAAACTCATCTCTGTGTCAAAATTATATATTTTCATTTTTTATTCCCTAAAAATAGCCTTAGATGTAACTCTACACTGTTGCATCCTCTAGATTCTGAAGATCTCCACCAGCTCCTCTCCACTCATTGCAACTCTGCCACACCAGCTCACCTACGACTCTCCTCACACACTGTTAAATGTCTCTGTGCTACACAATGACAGCTTATGATGTTGCAGTAATTCAGCTATAGATGTTCAAACCGGAAACTGATTGTAAGGAAGAATGATACAGAAAGCCCCACCCTGCACGGATGACAAGATTGGTTCTTTAAATTTGTCTTATGGATAAAGGATATTCTATATAATCAACCACTGAGACTCACAGTATATGGTTTTAATCTGAGAGTCTTGTCTAAATACAGGAATTCCTCAAGGAGGCATTTTGTCACCAGATTAGTTCTCAATTTGCACAAATGACATAATGCGCAACATCATCTTCATCATCCTAAAGTTAGCAAATACGCAGACACATAAATGGCTTCATGGTCTGCCCAACTGATATACAGTCCTCGACCACGAGATCAGCTATGCTAACTAGCAAAGTGGTTTAAAAGCAAAAGTCTTTACCTAAATGTGTCCAAAACAAAGGACGCTAAGGGCAAGTGAGCTCCTTTAAGTACTTGGCGACCATCTTGGATCCAGTCTTTTTACAGCATATGGACTACATTTTTTTATTTATTTCTTTTTTTAAATCACAACAAAGACTCTATTACACAAAGTGAGGACCTTTGACGTCAGCCAACATATTCTCAACAAAACAAAACATCCTAATTTTTATACTGGTCTGAATAACTGACTGTTAAAAACAAAAAACTTGGCAGTGTCTTTTCCCGCTGTAAATAAAATCAACTGTCTTGTCAGCATACCAAGCTTGTTAAAAAAAATGACTCATAACATCTTAAGGGCTCATTCCTTCCCCTAAATCACCACTTTCATCTCCTGCCTTCAGTATGGAGGTATAGAGCTCTCTGTGTCAAGATAAATATCAGAGAGAAGGGCGCTCACACTGGTAAGCGTGCAGGCTTTTCTTAGATGGTCTTAACTTATGAGCACAAGGTACTCAGTATATGCCAATCATGTTTTATCATTAGGTGTAAGTCAGCGTCATTTTTTCTGACAGATAAATCTCTGAAGGCCTATTTAAAAAATCAGAAGGTAATCTAAAAGCACTCCCTGCAATTCTTTAGGTGTTTGAATAATTATCGTCTAATGATGGGAATAAAAACCCATTCTGTGCACTGATATAGGTGAAAATCGTGGCAATGTAAAATCTAATTCGATGTAATATTAGTTTATGACCTGCAGCTCACTATAAATTTCAGATCCCACATTTGTTTGGATTAGGAAAGAGCTGGAGCTAAGGAAGCCCATGCTCCTGGAAAAGACTACATTAGCAATGAGAAGGAGCATGTGTGTGTCATAATATGCTGGTCCCACCCATAGCATGCTGCAACATCTGTAAACACCACTCTAAGACAATGACAATAACATAATAAGTGGAATTTCTTTGTGGTTTTAGTTATGGCTTTTTACTTTATGTTCTCCAAAGAAGCGTCCATTTCTCAACACTGATTTCCAGTTGCAAACCGCAAGGTATTGAGAAGATTACATGTGATTTTGAAGGCGAGTCAAGGTTACAGTGCTGTAAACATATTAGAAATGGAGCAGCCAAAGTCATATAAACACAAGGTCTGTACAGCTAATCTGTGATGATTCACATCATACCAAGTGGTGAAACACCAGCGTGCATCAACACACTCTATCCTGACAACGTTAGCCTAGTACAAGTCCTAACTAGGGGATGAAATGTCCCAAGAACAAACACACCGTCTGTCTCATATCAAATCACACTGCTTTCAAATGAAGCCTTTAACACACCCCAAAATTATCCGAACAAACCGTGTGAATCATGTATTCATGTCCAATGTGAGGCAGTCTTACTGTCCAGCCGGGTCTCCTTTCCATCCACAGTGCAGATCTTGGTGTAGGAGTCTTCAATGGTGGGGTCGTAGTCTGACACAAAGTACGACTGTGGGACACAATCAGTGTTAATCACAAGCTAGTGTTTTAGGTACAGTGTATACAACAACAGAAGACTTCTGAATATTTCATTCCATCCTGAGAGTCTACTGCAGAATGGTAATGTGTTACCAATACGAAAATACGAATTGCTAGAAAAATATCTGTTCCTCCTTTTAGCAGTGCAATAGATGTGAATAGTCCAATAATGTGGAAGGTACAATTTTAAGCCTTCTGTGACTGTTTCATTACTAGAGAATGTACACCTTTTACATTCAGTGTGATGTTATTTTAATTAATGTTCCTCTCAGTTCATTGCTCAAACCCCTGAAAACCCATTTCTGTGCATCAGAGTTACATATTATGTTTTTTCTAAGAAAAGAATCCTTTACTGCCTCAAAATGGCATAGACATAATTCCACACTGTTGCTTACAGTATAAATGTGCAGATCTATAGATAACGGCCCCTGAAAGAGGTTCTACAGTGGCAGTTCTTGCAGTCAGAACAAACACAAAGGTTTAGGTGTCCTAGAATAACTGGCATGGTCCTGTCATTGAAAATAGCCTAAAAAACATATGGGAAGCCCAGCCCTGTCCGTTGACAGGATTGGTTCCTTCGGTTTGTTATGTATGAAATCCTGAAAGTCTGAATCCATGTTTTTGAGACCGTCATCTATACACTGCCATGTTAACAAGATAAAAAAAAAATACTTCATTTCCATTGAAGGGGGTCTTCATCAAGTAGAATATGTTTTCAGTACCATTTGTCTGTCTGTCTGTCTGTCTGTCTGTCTGTCTGTCAGATAATTACACAAAAACTACTGAGGCAAATTTCACAAAACTTGGTGGAAAGGTGGAGCATGGGCAAAGAAACCACTCCACAAATGTTCTTGCAGATCTGGATCACTTTCTTTAAATTGCAATACAGGGCTCTGGCCTTGGCAGAGGTCTGCACTCCAAGGGAAGTTCTAGTTGAAGTAATTGCTCTGAATACTTCTACTTGTAACTGGACTGAATTGTTGCGGCTTTCTTGGTACAATCACAATCTGTATATCTTGTGTTAATATGAATTTATGAGAACGTGCATCTCCCATTGCTTCAAGTGAATTTCTGAAGCAATGGCTGCCTGGAGGCTAGAAAAACAACATTTTTTAAAAAATGTGGCCAGCAGCAATGAAAACTATTATAAGATTTGTAACCTAAACTGTTAAAGCACAAACAAATATCAAACTGGTACTTTGACTAACCAGCTCTGGTTAACAAAACTGAAAGCACATCAACTGGCCATGAGTGACATGTCACATCTCCAAACACTGACAGGAGGACAACAGCAGAGCTTCCACCCTCATCAGACTACTGTCGATCCGTTTGGGTCAGTTCCATACCAGTGTGCTTTGTTTGGAACCAATCCCATATACTTCACATTCATAACTTTGAATGTGTTTAACTGCCCTCCAGAGTGGACCTTTATTAACCTTGTATTGCATGTAGCAGCTAAGAAAACATCCATATCATCTTCTTTTCTGTTGGCGTTGAGGTGACATGACCAGCCAGTCACAGCCAGACACGCAGAAAATGTGATATTTTTTAACATTCAGCTGCAAGTCATCACAAGTGACAGCTTTGACCTGCGATGAACCGTGGATTAGTTGCAGTAAGATGCCAGTCACAGCAAGCATCATGTCTACAAGCTTACTTTATGTCACAACTGGTCCTTTGTAACGGCCATAAAACAGAACTTTAACTAAACAAAAGCAGTCCTGATGCTCACTGTGATGGATTACACACTGCAAAGTCAATTAAAGTTGTTTCGTGTGTGTTTTTTTTTTTAAATGAAAAGAGAGTATTGCCAAGAAGTTTTAAAAAAATAAAATAAAAAAACATGAACACATGAAAGACATCAACGTCGTGTTAAAGCTGAATGTGTAGTCTGCCCCGGGTCGGTACCTGGATGAACTGGATGGTCAGAGCGCTCTTGCCCACCCCTCCTCCTCCCACAACCACCAGTTTGAATCGTTCCTCTTCTCCGCTCATTTTGAACTGGGATTCGTCCGGAACAAATACCTTCCAAGGCCTGAGTCCACAGTTCACCAGCGGCTAAAGCCAACCCGAACCAAGACTGAATCCAAAGTGAAGTACTGGTGAAATCCGCCAGGTAACGTAAAAGTTAGCAAAAGACACCAACGCGGACGACTTTAACGGTGCAGCCCCGAACTGAAACTTTTCTTCTTCAACGACACAACCTCGGAGTTGAGCGGCACACATGAGAGTGAAAGTGGTGCCGGAGTTCCGCGGTCCGTCCAACAAACATGGAGCTAAAGAACAGCGCGTTTTCTCCTGACTCGAGCTGAGCAGCGGGCGCTGTCGTCTCTGGCTCCTCTTCTCGTTTTTTTGCTCTTTTCTCTGTGGCCTCCAGGCAGCTTCTGCGGGCGGAACTGCTTCCTCCTTTCTCGTTCCTCAAGAAACTGAAGCAGCTCGCCCACTAATGTCGAGGTGTGCTTCAGAGCACCGACACATCGAACCGAGCAGCTACAGCTACGCTCATTAAGAGAGAAGTCCGACCAGAATAAAATCCAATTTCATGTGTCACTTTCCTTATTTGGTCATCGGGAGCTCCGTGACATCATGTCAGCCTCTGAATCACAGGATGTCGAAGCAGCACCATGACAGTCCTGGACGGACAGCCTGCTGCTCCACAAGCCCGCCGCTGTTTTTATCTGGAACAAGACCAAATGTTTCACAACTCTCAGTTAATAAGTGAGCAAATTTTTCATAATCGGATCCGAAGAGGCTTGCTGCTTCACGCTATGTGGAGTCTGCAGTCCACCACGTCTCTGTACTGAACTGGAAGAAACTATGGTGCTTTGAAAACCTGCGCCCCAGGACAACACATCCTCCAGGTTTCTGTCTGGATACGTGCCAGAAAGTGTGAGAGACAGATTTAAAGACGAACCAAGAAATCTACATTTAGAGAAAACGGAGTAAGACGCCCTCTTCAGAACAATGACATCATGTTAACAGTTCAAAAATGTTTGTTTGCAGATTATTTTAGGAAATTACAGCTTATTTTGTACGGTCAAAAATTTACAAAATATGTACAAAATATACTTCTTTTTTATATTCAAACTTTGACTCTTGTTAGGATTAGGAGGTGTGTAGATAATGGATGGATTAAAACGTTGACACTATTTATCCTACATTTATTTTGAGTAATAATTTAAACACACGGTTCATGTAAATGATTATAAATGTGACTCTACTAGTCTAATAATAATAAATAATAAAAGTTTTCTGTCTCCAACAAATGGCAATCTGACAGGAATGCTGATATAAAATGTTCTATGGAAACAGTAGCTGAACTTAGCAAATGAAGCAGCCCGCTGCTGTTTAATATGTATTCTGTGTTGCCTCGTAATGCCACATATGTGCTGTATATGCAAAACATTTGCACTTATGAGTCATATTTGCCAAATCAGTACTCACACAAGCCGCTGCAACTCTGCTGGCCCTCACTTACAAAGGGGGGATGATCCTTGACTTTCAGTACACTCCGGAAAAAAAACGCAACCTATCTCATAAATGTTTCAATCTTAAAATAATACTGAGAAATTAAGGAATATGACAAACAAAACACTGTTATAAACCTCTATCTCCACTGTGCCTGTAAACCTGAGATGGCCCACAGTTCAGCGTAGGTGCTGCCCCCTAGTGTACACTATGTCTCTGCTGGTAGATTATGTGCTCTCAAATTTGCTCTAACATCATCTGATTATAGTGAAGACCAATACATTTAGGACCATGGCCCGTGTAAACACAATATCAGTTCGCTTTTCTGGGGTACGGAAACTGATGAGAACTAAAATTTAGTTCGTATGTTGAGGTCTGCCCTAAACTGAATCGTCATGCTGACAAAAGGGCAATAAGTCATGGTTGAAATATCATCTTTAATCATCAGTAAATACAATTCAAGCCATTGTGCCGAAAGTCTTTTTAAAATAATGGCACGTTTCAAATGACAAAATAGTCTTACCACTGTCATAATGTACTAAACAAGATGCATTGGTGAGGAGGTTTCTTGTCAAGTAAGGTTCAGATATTCAACTCAGCAATAAATAAATAGAAGACAACGGTTCTTTCAGTGCATATGTACATCACATGTGGTTTCTTTGACAAACATGCACAGACACCATCCCCTTTAGCCCCCGCTGTGCACCCTTAGCACCTGTATGGTAGTGCAGACTGTCCCATCCTCACAGGGTGGACAAAGAAGCTCCCCAGCAGCACTCTCTCCCCCCAACCCAGCAGCTTGTTCAATGTGAAGCTGAACGGCGACAGCAGGCCCTGTTCCTTCACCTCAGCTCTGCTGCACTTTCTGTGGGAGGGACTCTGTTCCGTGTGGGTGTTCTCTGCCTGCCTGTATCTGCCTGTATGACTGTGTGTCTTTGCCTCAGGCTTCTCTTCCGACTCCCTGTTGTGGACAGTTTTCGATGTGGTAGTGCCTCTTGCTTGTTTGCTGCTGCTCGGTGGGGAGAGCGGGCATATTCCCAAAGGGGCCAAAGAGAGGGAGAGGCTTTTACGTTTCTCCAATAGAGAAGCAGTGCCTGATGGGAGTTGTAGTTGTGTAGGCTTTGGTACCGCTCTGATGGGCTCACAAGGGCTTGAAGCTGGAACCTCACATCGTGTCTGGACATGCTTCTGATTTTGAAACACAGTCAGATCAAGAGTCTCAATTCTCTGTTGGTGGTTCCCATTGCCATCTGAAAGTGAGTGTTTCTGCTGGGTTTTGTCTTCGTGTTGTGCTGAGTCCCCAGTGATGCTATCAGCTGGATAACTGTGGTTCTGACTGCCATGAGTGTAGCTACCTCTGTCACTCAGGGATGACAGGGGATTGTCCAGTTGATGGATGATGAAGTCACCACCAGAGGCCTTTTGGCTCAGAGCACCCTGGAAGTGCTGCAGCTGACCCAGGAAGTTGAAGTTTGGTGAAATGGAGGGCCGGCGTTCTTTCACAAACCTATTAAGAGCACAGATACAATGTAGGTTAGGACTATGTCCATTTTATAGCACACACAAACTAACACTGGTTGAGTTTCTACACGAATCCACAGGAACAACTGCAACAGGACTAAACAAGGCAATACAAGGGATTAAAAAACAGTTAATACAACAGTAATAAATGAGCATATTAAGTATGTGAGTCTGTCTCAACTTGGCATAGGTTAAGGTAGAATGTGCACATACAGTATTCACAGTATGTGCACATGGGTCTGTTGTGTGTGTGTGTAGTAATATGCCTATAAGTGGTGTATATGTGGCAGGATGTGGCATTTAGTGGGTTTCAGGGGAAGAGTAATTATGGCAGTATACATGTTGGTAGGGAGTCTACAGTTCTGTTCAATATCAGCAATTAGTCTGCTGAAGAGTGGAGCAATCATAGAATTAGAAATAAGTGTAGAACTCAGCAAGCATGCTATAGGGGCCTGTTGCTTAGTTTTTTAAATAAGGGCACTGGATAATTCGTCACCCTCTAATGGTAAATATTTTTTTTAATTAGTTTTGGGGCACAACGATGGTGTTTTTAAAAGAGCTGAATTATTCTTATTATTTAGTGCTCTGATGGAAGCAGGTTGGTGCAGCATGTTGTTTATTCCCTCAGGAGACAGGTTTTTCTTCCCTGGCTTTCCCTTCCTCCCTAACAGCTAAAATTGTTGCTTTCTCTGTATTTCATTTCATATGATTAGGCTAGTTTTTTAGATTTATAACTGTATTTAAAATGTGCGTAACTAAACCTGTGTATTAAATTCCCTCTTTGGTCATTGATTGGACCACTAAGAACTCATTGTATATGTCAAGGTTATACATTTAAAAGTTTTTTCATGAAAGTAATCCATTCCTGCCTTCAAATTCTAATGTGTAACTCCCCACCCTGCAAGCTGACAGGATTGGTTCCTCAGATTTGCAATGTATGAAACCCTGGAGATCTAAATTTCTGTTTTTGCGACCGTAATCAGACACACTGGAATTTCAAGATGGAAATGTTCAACAATGGTGCTGACTTTTTATCTTCTTCACTGTTTGTCTTCAAGCATAAAAAAACACCATACAGACATGCTAAAAAGGTACAGGGGTGCTAGGATTTTGTGTTTCACCTTTATGACTTAATATTTATTCATGTTAGCGTTCTTTGTGATTCAGAAACTAAGTTGATAATAAATGTGCTGAAAAAACCTTCTTCTGATGGGTTTACATTATTTTTATTCAAGATAGGGGGAAAAAAATAAGCACCAATTTCAATGGGGTGGATCCATGACTCTTCGATATTTGGCATCATTGACTACCTGGTCAGGAAAAACATCAATGTGTAAAGATGTGGGGTGGACCAGTAGGAGCACTGAAAACCTTCAGTAGGTTGGATGGATGTTTATTAAGACTAAAGATCTCTTATGAACTGTTTGTTTTGCCAAGTTGATACGTTAGTGGTTTGATCTGTTGATGTATTAATCACTAAATGTTGGCAGTTTAAGAGCTTTAAAATAGAAGAGAAAAAATGACGAAAGATAGCCTGTAAAAGATGTGCCATCAAAAAATTCTGACTGCCTACAGACATTAAAAACCATCATCTTTATCAAAGTAGTCTCCTTGTGCAATCCTTGTAACTCTCCGTCAAAGTTTTATGTAAACAGGTCAAGCACCATCTGCGATGGAAGCAGAATCTCCTAAAGTGTGTCAGATCAGTACCCCTTCAACTTGAATTCTATTTTGGCGAAGAGGACAAAGTCCCAGGGCACTAAATCTGTTTGTCTGAGTCTATCTGATTGTGCTGTTGTGGCCAAAAAATTCTTGTGTAATCACCACAGTGTGACCAGGCATGCAGCACAGTTGCAGGATCCATATTGGTGTTGAGCCACAGTTTAGCTTGTTTGCACTAAATATTCTCCCTTCCAGGATGAATTCCCAAAACCAGACTTTTGTTACAAGTGATGATCGTCCACACGAAGGGTTGATCCTCCCACCTGCTGACTGTCACAGAATTTGATGTTTGCTCTCTGCTCCAGCCGGAGCTCCACTGTGGAACTGCAAATGTGCAGCTACCAAAACATTTGTAGCACAAGTCTTGGTATAACAAGGTCTCCTGATTCATGACAGTCAGTCGTTGCACGTGTGTGACTGTTGCACACTCCATGCATGCCCAACATTAACAGTCCCAGATCTTTTTGATCACACCGTGTATGGTAGATACAGAGACGCACAAATATCTGATAGTAACCCAGGGTGGTAGGGAGAAAAATGGTAGAACTGCTGTATATCTTTTCTCTATATTGAGGACATCATGGCCAGTTTATGAAGTATTGACACAGTTTAGAACCAGTAGGTTTGGTTTTAGTATTTGTTGCATGATGCATTAGATTTAATGGTATACGTTGTTATTTGATCAATGTCTGCTCAGGTCAAATTTCTGTATGAATGTGTGCAAACACTCATACCTGTATGCATTGTCCAGGTCCATTTCCAGGCTGTACATGATGTAAGCTACTGCTAGAGCTGGGGAGCGAGAGATTCCTGCTGCACAGTGCACCAACACTGAGGCCCCAGAAGACATGGCTTCATCTGTACACACACACAACAAAGTACCAGTTAGCAAAGCTGCAAAGTGAGAAGAAAATAGCAGGTGATCATTATTTAAATCTGCTTTTCTGAAAAATTAGACTGTTTGTTTTAGAAATACATGCATAATAGATAGGAGGAAAGTGATACTGAAAGGAGAGGGAGAGTTCTGACCGATGAAGTGCAGTGCCTGTGGGATCCAGGGCAGCAGGTTGTCCCACAGGGAGTCATCAATGGGGATACGAAGGTATCTGGAGGGAGGCAGAAAGGAGGGCTGGGGGCTGCAGCGGCTCACGCTCAGCACGTAGGAAATACCCAGAGAGGCCAGCCGGTCCTATTCACACACACACACACACACACACACACACACACACAAACACACTTTATTCCTCTGTTCCAATACACTTCAGTCCATTTCAGATTTTACATACAAAATACGCAATTACTGTTAATTGTAGTTTGAACTACCCAGCAGTACAGAGAGCAGGTCAGTGTGACAGCTCCCCACCACATCGACACTTTGTGATTGTATCCTGTGGTTCTCCTTTTAGAATCCTATCAGCAAAAAACTAAACTTCTCTGATCAGCCATTCCTCAACCTGCATCTCTGAGGAAAAGGCAACACGGGCACACCATCTGCAGCCACATTCTGGTCACCTCAAAACGTTCCTACATTATTTCATATGCACTGTCTAACCATTGTTTTGATATTTTTGTGCATCTTACTGTTTTGTTTATTTATCTGGTTTTCATTTGATTGTTTATGTGTAGAGGTGCTTTGACTCTTTATCTTGTGCTAAATTTCTCTACGCCAAATAGTTGATTGATTAAGTGAAGTTTAAAATTCTGGCCCGTTCTGAGCAGATCGTGGTGTTTCGTGGTGTTCCGTGCTGAGTGCGCAGGTGTGCAGCGGCCTCCTCTTACCTGCGTGACGTCACTCTCCGCTCCGAGGTAGAGCTGCGGCAGGATGACGGACAGCGGAGGCGGACCCGCTTCGCTCTCTCGGGACCAGACCATATCTGCAGCAAAACACGCACCACATGTTATGGTGGCATTTTTTTTTCTGGCAACTTCGACGGCACAAAACAAGTTGTCAAAGTTGTTCATAATATCCTAGATATTAGTTTGCGCAATAGGACGAGCGACTGGAAACGAGAGCTTTACTCCCGTGCAAATTTTGTAACTGTAGCACAAAGATTCCAGCTGATTAAAAAAAACAAAACAAAAAAAAAAACAGCAAACCGTGCAAATACACTCTGTTTACATCTACTATTTTTCTACTAATTTAACATTACCTCCTCTGAGCGTCCTTCCCTGGAGTCCTCTGGCAGCAGCAGCAGCTCTGAGCGGCGTCCGTCCGTCGCAGGTTTGCAGAAGCTTTCCGTCCTCTTCACATAAAACCACCGTCCTCTACTGCTGCCTTCTCTCTTCTCCTCATTTTGCTCTCTGAAACTGTCTTCTCAACGATGAGCTCATCCCTTTTTCTAACAATAGATCTAGGCTGGATGATGTCATCTTCAGCCAATCAGCGCTCTGCAGGCCTGACACACGCGCAGACGCATGTCGGCTGTGAGCTGGCCTCAGAGCAGCAGAGATGGAGGGAAGCAGGGAGGAAACCCCGCTCGACTCAACGCTGCTGCAAAACAGTCGTGTTTTGATATTGCACAGAGCTTTATGAGTACAGGAGAGCTTTGATTTTGTATCTCACAAGGATGACAACTCTGGCCTTAGTGTGACTTGCTGATAGTGCCTTAGTATTTCATAATAATAAGAACAGTCACATTATGATTATGGAAAAATAATGACTTCATATCTCCTATTAATGACATATTAAGTCATAATTGACTAAATGTTCTAAGTCAATATTATGAAATAGCAAATCCTAATGATAAGACACTGAGTCATTTAAATAAGCAGGCTGTCATTATTATGAGCCTGAACATCAGACAGAGATCCAATAATTATGAGGTAGAAAATCACAAATAGAGAAATGTATTTCAGCATGATGTGAAGTTAGTCATTATTATGAGAACGTAGGTCATAATTTTATGGAAATCTCAAAATTAGGGCTGCAGGGTGGCGCAGTTGGTAGCACTGCTGCCTCGCAGCAAGAAGGTTGCCAGTTCGCGTCCCGGTGGGGGCACCGGAATCTTTCTGCGTGGAGTTCCCCGTGCAGCGTGGGTTCTCTCCGGGTTCTCCGGCTTCCTCCCACACAGTCCAAAAACATGTTGAGGTTAGTTGGTGATTCTAAATTGTCCGTAGGTGTGAATGTGAGTGTGTTTGGTTGTCTGTCTCTAAGTGTAGCCCTGTGATAGACTGGTGACCTGTCCAGGGTGTCCCCTGTCTTCGCCCTAAGTCAGCTGGGATAGACTCCAGCCCCCCACGACCCTAATGAGGATTAAGCGGTGTATAGATAATGGATGGATGGATCTCAAAATTACAAAATAGCAGCTTAAGTCACTAATAGGATCATAAGTAATAATTATGAGACAGTATATCATACATGTGAAGTCACAATTATGATTTATGTTCTACTTATGACAAACTATGTAACTAATACTAACTAGTTAAACTAATGTATATGTTGAATATGAGGAGAGGTAAATACCGATTTAATCGTTTGGACTTTCATGAAATGAAAAAGACCTAAAGACCCACCAGTTTACGTTACTTAACTAACAATGTTACTACTGGTCATCCATCGGGTTCCAGTCCCTTGCCTGTGTGTGTGTGTGTGTGTGTGTGTGTGTGTGTGTGTGTGTGTGTGTGTGTGTGTGTATTCTTGGTTTTCAGCCTCCCTGGTTAATTTGGCCTTTGGTTTGTTTGCTTACTCACCTCCCCCAGCTAACACCCCTGGGTAAATAGTTTAGATTACCCGTTTAGATTATCGGGACTCAGTGTCCGCGCCTGGGTTCTCTGGTAAATCGAGACAGTGATAAATTAAAGGCTGTTTCATTCTTGGTTGAGAAAACTCTCCTAGTCAAGGTACAGTGCCGATTAAATACCAAGATACCATTAGAGAAATGGAGATTTGAGTGCAGAGAGTTGTGTCTAAAAGGTCCAGTAACTGGGGAATCAGTTCTCCTGGCTACAACTACACAATGAAGAGAAAAAAAAACTCTAAGAAACTCCATAAAGTTATTGAAAAGCATAAGTCAGATGGATACAAGAACATTTCCAAATCATTCCAGTATAGTTAAATCTGTCTTTGGGAAATTGAAGGAATATGGAACATGCATAAATCTGCCCAGAGCAGGCCGTCCTCCAAAACTAAGCGACCATGCAAGGAGGCCACCACTGGAGATACATGGTTCTCATGGGACAATGACTACAAATGTCTTACAGAAGATGGCTGCTGTTGATTAAACCACTCAGTCATTTATAGTTGTCAAAATATTCCAATCAGATATTGATTTCTTGCTTTGAGACTAGCATTTTATTATCCCTGACATAAGCATAAGTGAACACTTCAGTTGAACTAACATGTAGAACACTCATTTATTTCAATTCACAAACAAGATGAAACAGGTTAAACATTTGAGTGTGTACTTTTTTGCAGGTAGTGGGGAAACATTTGTGCTTTGCTCTGAGACTCCAGAGGGACTGACTTTAGACGCTGACTGTTAAAATTAATTACACCTCATTTAAGTTTTTTGAGGGAATCAGTTTCCTGAATTTTTCAAAGGGAGATTTTTAAGTCAAGATGACATGTTAGATCAACCAAACTGTAATACTTGCACCAAACTCTGCACTCATATATAAAATCTCAGATTATTATTATTAAACACTCGATGAGATCACGCAATACACACCTTTTAAAAAGGTTCTATACAGTATATTTGAACATTAATATGGCAGCAAACACCTATTTGTTAAGTGAAGACAGTGAAGTAATGGCATTCCTAACAGAGGCTAAAGTCACCATATATCTGTGTGTGTTGCAATCTGAGCTTTTCTGTTCTACACTTTGATAGCGGGTCATGTGAGTCCCTCCCTGCAACTGTTGGTCCTCCCTCAATATATATGCAGACTGTGGCTTTCCATACCACATTGTAAAGTGAGCGTGCAGTCTGGAGCTCTCAGCCAGGGCCCAGAAAGACTATTTCAGCGCATTGATAGCAATCTACTGCTTTATCTCTGCACTCCTCTGCTTTACCTATAGGCTTCTCCAGTATGTCCAATCCGCTCTGGTACACACTGTTTGTGTCTGTTTAACCTGCTTTCTGTCATAGACGCACAGTAAAGACCGACAAAGAGACAAGACGGCTTAAGATAACGATACTCGAGGTGACAACTCGCTACAGACATTTAATGTATTGTGCAAAGCTAATTTGAGCAAATGGTTGTGTTTTGCTGACTTCTGTCATGTTTCTGATGTATAGGAGCACTTTTAAACATAAACTTATCATAAATACTGATTTTAAACTTTACCGCTCTACTCCACCCATAAAAAAACTAAAACATAAAATGTATCATGGGATCACTGCAGCATTTGTTGTTTATTGTTCAGTCAGTATTCCAGTGTTTCTACTTGCAGTCTTGTCTGTCTAGTATCTCTTCAATTAACACCTTGATCTTACATTTGCTTTGTTTTTTGTTTTAGTGGACTTGCAAATGTAATCTTTGAAATTACTTCTAAAAACCCAAAATGAAAAGACTTCATGACATTTAAAGTAACACTTGCCAGTAAAAAGTTCATATATAGTGCTTAACAAATTTATTAGACTATGTCATAAAAGCGAGAAAACATAACTATTTTAGAAATCTTTCAGAAGCTGCTTTAAAACTAAAGATGTTATTTATTTGCCAAATAACAAGCTCAAACAACTAAATATTCCTTTTTCACACATAATAACCAAAAAACTTAACATTTTCCATGGTCTCCTTTGGCCTTGATAACAGTTTGCATTCTTGCTGCCATTGTTTTTATGTCCTTTTTGACAGATTCTTTTGGTATTGAATTCCAAATAGTTTCTATCTGTTCCCACAGACTTGCTCTAGATGAAACTTTTGTGTGATCAATCTTTGAATGTACTACATCCCAAATTTGTTCAATAGGACTCAAATCCAGACTTTGACTTGGCTAGTCCATCAGTACCAGAACTCCAGATTCCTTTTTCTTGGTCAGATCGTCTCTGCACAGCTTTGAAGTATGCTTAGGCTCATTGTCATGTTGGTATATGAACCCTCGACCAATCAGATTCAGTCCAGAAGGGATTCCATGATGCACTAACATCTGACATGAGGTGGTAGACGTTCTCGTTCATGATACTGCCGATTTTCGCTGATTTGCCCACACGATTTCTACAAATGAAACCCCATACCATGATGGAACCTCCACTGTGTTTTACTGTGGGTACAATGCATCTGGCATCAAAATGTTCTCCAGCTTTTCTGAAGACATGAACACGATGATGCTGACCAAAGAGCGCCTTCTTCCAGTCACCAACAGTCCAGTGTTTGTGCTCCCTGGCAAATCTGAGGTGTTTCAACAGTGGTCTTCCTTCTGTCTCCAGTACTTCAAATCTTGAGGTGTCTGACATCTGCTTCAGCTAACTTTGGTTTCCTGCCTCTTCCTTGGTGCATTTTGTAAGCACCTGTCTTGGCATTTGACTCCAAATCATACTTGACCACACTGTGAGAACACTTAATGTCTTTCCCTGTTTGTCTCAGACACCATCCAGCATCATGAAGTGCTTTAATGCGGACTCATCTCTCCATGTTTTACCATTTTAAACAGGAATGACGAATTTCAAACTTGAGTCCACCTTTTTGTATCCAAATCTGAGTCACTGGGCTTCTCTGAGAAGTCAGAAATTAATCAAGCATTACATTCAATTACAAAAACTATTTTTTTCTGTTCAGGAATGCAAGTAAATCACTATAATTTCACATCTTAATTAAGAAACAATAATGTGCTTTACTATTTTTTCAAAACCTAAATTTGAAAATTAATTAATTAATGGATAACAACAACATTTTAGCACTAAAATATAATTTATGTTAAAGAGCTTTTACATACTGGTGTATTAACCAGAAACATACAACATAAATTAAAATGACTGATACAGTAAATTCGGGCCAGCTGTGGCTTAAACCTTACATTGGGTGAGGGTCCAATAAATTTAAGCACAGTCTAACACTGGAAAGAAAAGGTTACTCAATACCAACTGGGGCTGTGTGAAAATGTTTTCCCTCTCTCGTGCAAATCCACCAAACACAAAACTGACCTGATAAATGGTTGCAGCTGGTTTAGACACTCCCACTGACTAAACTTCTATTAAAAGTTAAGTATTTAGATTTTGTTTTCTTTGAAAAAAAAAATTAGGGGCTTACAGAGACACCCCATCAGTGGAAATGTTAAAAGTTTTCCCATTAAATTCTAAGAATCTCACAATTAAAGAGTGGTTTCATGTTTGTCAAACCTTTTCAATGCTATGAAATCATGTTGGCCACCTG